TGCTGGCTACTGCCTGTGTTAGTCCGGGTAGACTCAAGAAACAAACCCATGGAAGCTCATAGGTGTATAAGAAAGAGGTGTATATACAAGAGCAGTTGAACATTGAGAAAGCATCCCAACCCAGTCCAGGCTAAGCCCATATGTCTGATACTAATCAATAAAGTCCTCTTCAGACTCACAAAACACATGTAATGATGTTGAATGGTGGCTTCTCTGGCTTCAGAGGTCTGGTTGCCTCAAGGTAGGTCCATGTGACTCCTCCAGCTCAGGGCACTAGTGTAGTTCCATGTGTCTTGTCAGCTGCAGTGTCTCCCAGGGAGTGAGCAGAGAGAGTGTGTCTTCCGCCTCCAAGGAGAAAAATCCCAGATTTCCCAGAATTCTCAGGAAAAGGCCACGCCCACACAGAGGCCTCATTGGCTATGATCTGATTGACAGACTAGACTCCACTCCTTCACTCTTAATCCTCTCAAGTCCCAAATTGACACCAACTTATGTAACTACCACACTGCCCTCAGGAATTTCACTGGCTGCTTCAACTGTGCTGCTGCTGTTAGCGGCGTTCGAGGGCGTCCCAGCTCATAGCAATCCCTTCCACTATGGATGGAGCACTGCTAGGTCCTGTACCATCTTCAGTTGCTGATTGGTCCATTGTGAGCCACAGAGATTTCGTTGGCTGGTTTTCTGAAGTAGGTCACAAAGCCTGTCATCCTGGCTCACCTTAGTCTGGGAACTCTAAGATTCAGCAGTAAGCCTCCATTGACAGACTTGGGGTGGCTGTGCATGAGATGATTTGATCAGGGACTGAACCCAGGTCTCCCATGTGGCAGGCAAGAATTCTACTCCTGAGCTACCACGGCCCAAGGCTGTGACAGTAAGACGCTTATATGGTCTTTATTAGCATCTCAGCTAGGTGTATGTGGTGCAAGCAAGAGACTTGTTCTTCTCTACTGAAGATATCAGTGGGCATTGCTTGTCCAGCCATGAAGTGGCATCAACAGCCTGTACTGACTAATGCATCCCATTCAGAAAGCTGTATCTTGAAGTGCTGGCCAGTTGTCATGGCATTCTCTACAGACCTGCACAACTTCAGGGACTCTGATTCTGTCATAATGCAATGTATTGGTTTGCTATTAAAGTGCACAGCCATCCAGAGGCAAAAAAATATCCTCCAAAATCATATATTTGGCCTGGGGTACGTATTACGGGTCAGAATACCACCTGTGCTGCTCAGCAAAGTGATGGTCGCTGTTTTATAGCAGCCTGTCCTGGAAGCAAATGGTGTATTGTGAAGCAGTTTGGGGTATGCCAAGAATCCTAGGCAGTTAGCTCCTTGCAACTGTAGAAACCCAAGGAACGGAATCCACAGTGTTTTCTTAAGGAAGAGGCAATGAACAATTCATGTCTGGGAGATTGAACCCTGCCCAGAAAGGGTATGACTGCAGTCAAGGGAGAACTGGAGCCTGAATTCCACTTCTTCAAGGGAGACTTTTGTTTTGCTTTGTTTCTTAGACTTTCCCTTGTTGATTGTTTCTGAGGTTACAGTAGAAAAAGGAGGCTGGGGCCACCAAACGCTGGAACCAACTCCATATACACAGAAGCATTGTCTACATGTTTCTCCGTCTGCAGGTTCATGAGTTACGATGCAGGCGCTTGGCAGCAGTGGCGTCAGGGCAGTGCTAGGTCAGTAGTTCAGGTGCAAATAACATGATACTTTTTTTCTGATACTACACACCACACACACACACACACACACACACACACCTTAATTTTCTTTTCCCTTCTAGTGTTCTGTGTGTTCCTTTTGCTTTCAACCAAGGATTGCTTTCTAGAACAGCCGAAACCAAACCCACTGCTCTGGAGCTGACTCTGACTCACAGCAGCAGGGTAGAAGTTCTCCACAGGGTTTTCAAGATTGGAGATCTTTCTAGGAAAAGATGACCTCGTTTTTCTCCCTCAGAGGAGTTTGTGGGTTTGAACTGCCAACCTGTCTTTAGTGAGCAGCCCAACATGCCTAGCTCTCTACCAGGATTCATTCTATAGTCGTGTAAAAATAACTTCTGTTGATACATGCTACGTCTATTGCTGTCAAGCGATACAGAGCACCGTATTGCCAAGCCAACACTTTCACACGTACAATGTAATGATATCAAGCACACTAATTGTGCTCTACAACTATCACCAAGATAATTTGCCACATATACCATCACTGTGAAAAGAGCTCATTACTTCTTCAAGCAGCGGGAGAGTTAAGCCAAAGAACGAAGGCTGTCTGAATGTAGAGGTGCCTGAAAGCTCAGAGGGATGAATGAGAATTTAAGGCTAAAATAAATGTGCTATAAATAAAGTTGTCCCACTGGCTCTAGAATTGAAAATTGTCATGTTGGGCTTGGAAAGCGCCTCCTTATCAGTCATTCTTATTTAGCAGAAAGGGGTGCCAATTTGCCTTCATGAACCTTGTCAGATTTAAGAGCAATTTCCCTACACAATTAAGTGATTTGTCCATCATTAGTGCTAATATCTCAAAATGACAACCCTCCCCAAACAACACAAAACAAACCTCACTGTCAGAGAGTCGATTCCAGCTCATAGCAACCTTGAATAGGGTTCCCAGAGTGTAAATCTTCATGGGAACTGACAACCTCCACTTTCATCCCTGGCGGCTTTGAATCTCTAAACTCAAATCATCTTCTAAAAAAAAAGTTTTTATTTTGTAAAGTTTCCAGAAGAGAAAAAAAGAAAAGCACTTTTGTAGAGGATAGTTTTATGACTTTATCACTAATGTTTTTCACTGTATGGTTGTTAACTATGTGCTGGTAGTAAAGCCAGAGATGGGAGTGACTCGTGAAAAAAAGTTATACATTGGAAAAAGAGAGAGAGAAGGAAAGAGAGAGAGAGAGAGAGAAACTTGTAGAACTCAAAACTCACTTTTTTAGGTGGTCAGTACCTGCCTGAAAAGCCAAGTGCATCTTGAAAGTGTAGATGCAGCTTCATGACAGCCGTGCTAAAACACCTTTCTTCCCTCTGTGTGCCTGCTCTTTCCGAGTTCCCTCTGGGTGGCATATTAATGCCTGGCAGCCGCAAATGCCCTCTGGCCCGAGAAATTTATCAGAATTGTAAAATGGCTTATTTGAGATAGCGCTGTGTTTACAGTTTACTTTTATCAAGTGGAAGCACCTTGGAATCAGCCATCTATTATACATTTATATTTTTAGACAGCGGGTGCCAAGTACATTATTTTACCAAGCTGCAAGCATGCCTTTGTGAATTGCTGTACACAGTAGTGGTTCGAATTGCTTACATAAGTAAATAAGGAAAACATTTTAAAACACGCAGCCCACTACACCCTGATGTCCAGACAGGAATGAGCCAATCTCATTGAATTGATTCCATCAAGGCTCACAGCTGCATCCCCACTGGCCTCTCCTTGGCGGCCTCATTCCACAACAAAGGGCATCAGACCAGCTAGCCATGTCCCGCGAAACCAGCAGTTTTCAACCTGTGGGTCGTGACCCCTTTGGGGGTTGAACAACCCTTTCACAGGGGTCACTCGATTCATAACGGTAGCAAAATGACAGCGGTGAAGTAGAAACGGAAATGATTTTATGGTTGGGGGTCACCACAACATGAGGAATTATATTAAAGGGTCGCGGCATCAGGAAGGTTGAGAACCACTGGTCTAAACTGTAGGTAGCCCACTTGGAACTTCTTTGGGGAAAGTTGATGATAAAGTTGTCTATTTCTCCCCCTGAGGGCATTTCAATTTGAAGTCACTAATCCTGTGTGTCGGCACTAGTAGCAGTGCGTTTGGTTTGGGTTTTGATCCTATGTCTTAAGGAAAACTGTAGGATCAGCGGTTTGAACCACTAACCGATCTTCGAGAAAAAGATGAGGCTTTCTGCTCCCATAAAAGGCTTAAGGCCCAGATGCCCAAAGGGACCGTTCCACCCTGTCCTGTAAGGTCTCTAGGGGTCAGAATCAGCTTGACTGTAGTCAAGCCAAACGCAGTCTTGTTTGCAATGACCTGACGTTGCTGTTGTTACTGTTGTTGTTGTTGTTGTTGTTGTTGTTAGGTGCCGTGCAGTCGATCCGGCCCATCGTGACACAACAGAAGGAAACCCAGCCTTCTGTGCTCTGCACACGAGGGTTCCCCTGCTTGAGCCCATTGGTGCAGCTACTGGGTCAATCCATCTCTTGGATGGCTTTCCTCTTTTTGGCTTCCCCTCTACCTAGCATCATGCCCTTCTCTAGGAACTAGTCTCGCCTGACATGTCCAAATCATGTAAGATGAAATCTTGCCATCCGTGCCTCGAAGGAAGACTCTGGACAGACTTCTTCCAAGACAGGCTTCTTTGTCCTTTATGCAGTCTGTGGTACTTGGAATATTGTTCACTAGGACCACGATTCTTAGTTACCTAGTGCTACCATGACAACAGCAACAAAATTACCACAAGTCGACACCTTTAAAGAACAGGAATTGGTTTTCTCACAGTGCAAGAGACCAGAAGTCCAAAGTCACTGTGTGGCCCGAGGGCAAGGTCCTTCCTGATGGTAATTCCTGGAGTCCCTGTTGGCCTGGGTCTCCTCGGAGGAGTGTGTGTCTTTGCTTCTTGTCTGCCTTTTTCTCTCTCAAAAGTGGTTTGGGTTAGGGCCTACCCCACTGGGGTCAGCTGGCTTACATCACCTGACTAGGGCCGTAGGATATGCATGGAGTTGGAATTCCCACCCACATCCCGTGGCCTCAGAACTCATTACCTAACAAGTGTGGTCTGGCCTGACAAGACTTTTCAGCTCTTGAATGAAAACCCAGTTTCCTTAGGGAGTCCCAGATAAACGTGAGGACCACATGGAGGGCAAGTTAAATTTTTTCAGATAAACCTACTGCATAACCTTCTGCATGTGACTCAGATATGAGAGTCTACCAGCTCCATCGCTGACAGTACATGGTGTGTTGGGTTGGTGTTCGCCGAACTCTTCACCATGGTTGTGCTGTTTCTCTCTAGAATGAAGTGTCCATGTTGAAAAACGAGGTGGCACAGTTGAAGCAGTTGCTGCTGACACACAAAGACTGCCCTATAACAGCCATGCAGAAAGAGTCTCAAGGATATCTGAGTAAGTCACAAATGTGTCTGCTTTCTTTAGAAAAAAATTCTCTCTCTTTTAAATCCACTAATTTTGCATTGGATTTTATTGAAAAAGCAAAAGGGAAGCACAGATTCCAGACCCAGGCAGAGCCCATGTCTAGAGTTCTTGAATGGCTGCCAGACTGGTCCACCAGTGCGATCCCACCTTGCCGAACCCTGCCCATCGTCACCCTCCTGATGCCTTCTGGCTAAACAATCCCTGCTAGGACTTCCCTGTAAAATCCCACCCAAGTTCAGTTCTGCAGCCAGTAGGAAGATGGTCTTCTAGGTCCCAGTTGTGATTGGCCTCGTAGTCTTCCTGAGAGACCCGTGGGCTGGGAAACAGGCACAAGATGAATCGCAGCCAAGGCCCCAGAAGACACTTCCCGTCACTCACTGGGCGGAAATGCTAGTGATGTGGTCTCAGTTTACCAATGCGTGAAATGGATCCTTCCCTCCACCCCGCCCTTTAGTCTAGTGGTTCTCAACCTTCCTAATGCCGGGACCCTTTAATATAGTTTCTCATGTTGTGGAGACACCCCCAACCGTAAAATTATTTTCGTTGCTACTTCATCACTGTCATTTTGCTACTGTTATGAATCGGGCGACCCCCATGAAAGGGTCATTCAATCCCCAAAGGGGGCGCGACCCACAGGTTGAGAACCGCTGTTTTAGTAGCTCCCAGCAGATTCAATGCTAGTGGAGTAGGGGATGGCGGGAGGGGCAGGGGTTCATGACTCAAGGTCACTTTATTTTCAAATAATTTTTTAGATTGAGCAACACAGATTCTCCCTCCACATGTGAGTATTTTTCCACATTTGATATCTGATGGCTTTTTGGAAATACAAGATGGGGAAGTTCCCATTCCAGGACTCACAACCCAGCCCAGTGTGTGGATGTAGAAAGCATGGCTTTGCTTGTAGCTGTAACCTGGGAAGGCGTAGCTTTGTGCCCATGGTTTAAAATAAGGTCGTGACATTAGCTTCAAGGAGAAAATGTTATGAACCCCTTCTACTTCGAGCCCATGTCTAGTACAGTTTTGCTGGCAGTCCCCAAGTCCACGCAAGAAAGAGCCCTACTGGTGTGTGTGTGTCCGTGTGTTCTCTCCTAGGTCCCGAGAGCAGCCCTCCTGCCAGTCCCGTGCCTGCCTGCTCCCAGCAGCAAGTCATCCAGCATAACACCATCACCACGTCCTCGGCCGTCAGCGAGGTGGTAGGAAGCTCCACCCTCAGTCAGCTCTCTACTCACAGAACAGACCTGAATCCTATTCTTTAAAACCCACCGGTCAGACCTTGCCTTCCCGAAGAGTGGTAGCATCCCACGGGCCCTTTCTCTTACGGGCATCTGTAGAATTCTCTCCAACCTGGACGACGCCTCATCCCTCAAAGACTGGCTTTCATTTTTATAGTTACTATGGAAATGTTGTCTTTTATACTTAGTTATATAAGAAGCAAAAAAAAGGGAGTTATGCAATTAATACCTATCAGCTTGGGAAATGCTTTGGTGCTTTTCTCTGATTTTCTGGTACCAGTTACTTGTTTATAAAGGGAACGCTTTCTGTATATAGCCATGGGTTCATTCTTACCAGGCCAGCCCTTTGCCTGAAACATGAACTTGTTAAGCTGCAGCTTTTAGCCAAAACGAGGCATCCCTGCATGTCAAGTGAGCCCCATCCGAGGTGAGTGGGTGGGGAGTCTGACAACATCCTAACGTGTTGAATCTGGGTAGTGACATCACCACTATCTCAGATAAACACAGAGCCTTTAAAAAAAATGTTTATTTTCTTTTAATATATGTGTATTAAAAACAAACAGAAAACCGTAGGACCCATTGATGTCCAAGCCAACCCATCAAACATCTCACCACCTCCGGACCTGCTTGGTCTGCTTGCGCAAATGCCCATTCTTCTCTCCAGTTTACTTTTACTTCTACACACGATTTACTCTTCCTTCTGACTGTGTTCTTTTATTGTTTGGTTTTTTGTTTTGGGTTTTTTTTTTTTCCTTTAGCAATGTACATAAAGAAAAAAGTCATGTTTAAGAAAAACAAAGAAACAAACAAAAAGCTTGTCAAACTTGTGGACCTCCCTCCCCTCTGCTGCATTTACCCGTCACACACAGCCTGGGCTGGTTCAACTTAACTTTTTACAAACTAGAAGTCAGGAGATGCTTAAGGTGCCTGATCTCATGCTTCCAATAAGCAGAGCAAATGGAAGCAGCCTGGCTGCAGGAGAAGGACTGTCCTGAATGCCAGCTGTGGAAGAATAAGGGAAGGGAGCTTGCAAGCCTTGGATGTGAACCATCCACCTTCTGAACATCACGTGCTCGAATTATAACGACTTTCTTTGGTCTTTCGATAAAGTTGAAAAGCCATGACCTATATGATCATTCAGACCGGCTCTACTCACACCCCAAATTAACATTATTCAAGCATCATCAGCTGCTAACAGCTTAAGATTTCTTGTGTGCCCTTCAGCCTCTGGAACCAGCTTTGCTATTCTGGGGAGACAAAGCAAGAAGCCCATTGTGTCCCATTCTCCCAGCCTTCCCCCCACGCAGGGCCGCTCTAGCACCCTTTGGCTGCTGAAGGAATCTCATGGGCAAGGACAGGCTACTCATCTCTCCTAAACCATTCGAATTCATTTTGTCAACCGCTCATGTGGACTTGCCCACCGTGACATGGCCCCCCCAACCACAGTTGTGCCTCCTGGAAGAAGCCAATCTAACTGGACATTGCATCTCACTAGTAACTGGAGCCGACGTTTCTAGCTGTCTAGAAAGGTGCTGGCGTTTCATCTCTGTTTGAGTGTGTGGTGTGCCTGTGTGTGTGTGTGTGTGTGCGCGCGCGCGCGCTTTAAAAGAACAGTATTTTACACAAGGTGTCGCTTTGATAGCAGTCTAGGAAAGAGGAAGGATGTGTGTGGGTCTTCGTTGTTGATTTCTTTTCTTCATCCGAGTGTGAAACTCGGATCTGGAGAAGAAAAGCAAGTAGGAGAGGCAGGAATCATACTTTGTTATAGTCGTCTCAGTTAACACTATACCTTACTTTTTATCAACCGACAGTCTTTCCATGTATCCAGTGCTTTCCTAGCCCGTGAAGCTCGTGACTTAGATAGATGGTCTACGCATCTCATCAAACACACAAAAACGAAAAATATATATATAAGTAAAAAGGGGGCTGGGGAAGAAGAGGGGGGTTTTCTATTCTATTTTCAGCAAATGTATCATTTTCAAGTCTTTTCAATACCGAATTCATAGTAAATATATATATGTATACATATATACATATATTTAATCTCAGCAGTAAAGAACTAACTCGTTTATCCTGACAATAGCTTCCTAAAATATGTTTCAGGCTTAGCTTTAAAAAAGGAGTTGACCTTCTTACCTCTATTTTGAAATTGCAAGTCAGTTTTTCAAAAACCCCTCCGCAGGGCCATCTGTATTCAAAAAGGAAGGGAAAGGAATGTCTTGAAACATTTTGAGGGTTTACTTTTTTTATGATAATAATTTTATTCTCTATTTAGCTTTATTCTTAAGTAAACAAAGCCTTTTCTTTCTTTACTGCATGCATAGCACGCAGTGAAATGGATTGTTTTTAACCCACTGTGATAATCAGAATGTCCAGGGAGTGACCTGTCACTAAAATGGTGGTTTCGTTTACTTCTGCTCCATCTCTTGATTAAAATATTTAGTTGTTCAAGCTGAATGCAGTTAAGAGCTCTGCAGTTAAGAACTTGCCTGAGTTTTCTTAATTCAGCAACTTGACAGTTTGACTGATGTGCATTATATATAGCTCAATTATGTCTGTTTTTTATGCTAAGTAGGCAAGCCAACCACACACGTTAGCTAACCGGCCTAAACATATAATTAGAATAAACTGTCTTCTTGTTAGGCGTGGGGCCTTTAGGTAGGTTCATTAGCAGGGTGGAAAGGACACCAAGGGAAAGAGACCGGCTACAACACAGTGCTTCTCATGAAATCCCGGAGAGAGAGGCTCATTGGCCAAACCCAACCATCAGCTTCTCAAAAGGAAGCAGGTCTTTTAGAAATCTTGGCTTTTTCCAGAACCCAGAAGAAGCCACCTGCTGGAAAATCTCTTTTTCAGCCCTACAACGTGAGCCCCTCTGGGAGAACATCTCCCCTTGTGGTCAGTTACTGAGTGGTTCCTGCTTGTTGGCCCAAACGCATGACCCCTTGACCAACAGCACAAGCATTGCCCTGCCCTGGGCCCAGCAGGTACTGTATGGGTCAGTCTGAATGCTGCCGGGATCCATTCCTGGGCTTCTTATCTTTATTTTCCCCAATTCGATTGTGTGCCTCTCCAGAACCCTGACTCCGAGGCAGGAGCGATCTTTCCCGTTCCTGTGCCTTTTGTTGGGATGGGGGGATCTGCCTCTGAAATCACTGCCAGCCTGCCTGGGCACTTGCTCCTTGCCTCCTCTGCCTTCCAGGATGGGAGTGCACCCCTCAGAGAGCCCCCGGGAAGCATTTCTCCTGGGTGACCCCTCAGTGAAGTGGCAGTGTGCACATCTTCACTGTTCCTCCTTGGGAGGTTTCTCAACCTCTGATACCAGAACAGGGAGAGCAAAGACCCCAGCCAGGAAAGGCTATACTCATTTTAAAGCCTCATCTGAAGTCAGACGTTTCTCTTTACCCTCCTTCTTATTCACCCCAAGCCGGTCCAGGCCAGCTACCAGTGTTGACACCCCCTGTGCAAGGCAGGGAGTCTATGGACCCTGTGAGATGTAATCATGAGGACAATCTACTAGGAACAAAGGTTCTTCAAAGCCTAATTCAGCCAACAACATGAGGCGCAGCCCTTGCGCTGAGTGCAGAAGCTTCTGTGGGGAATGGTCAGGTGGGTGTTGCCAGTGACTTGCATTTTAGTGCCCTCCTTGAGCTTGTCATTAAAATTGTAAATTAACCAGCTGCAGTTAAAAAAGACCCACCTTGAACTGGGGAGTGAAGCATCAGTAATGGTAATAAAACGACCCATCCTGTTAAGATCCAATGTGCCGATTAATGAAAACCATCTTAGAAAAAAAAAAAGAGTGTGTGTGTGTGTTTGTGTGTGTGTGTGTGTGTGTGTGTGTAGTGGAACTCAAGGACCAAAGCAAAATTTAAACAGGAATCTATTAATTTAGAATTTTATAAGGTATTTATTAATAAATGTTATTTTTAAACATTCCATTTGAACACTATTCTTCTCAAGTGTTTTTAAAGTATTAGTTCATAATAAACAACTCGACCTGTGTGTATTTTCCTTTTTCCGAGTCTCAAATACCTATTCTCCATCACTTGGTGGGTGTTTGCTTAGACCTCTATGCATAGATATTTCTAGGATTTCTGTTGCTCTGTTTTTTGGTTTTGGTTTTTAAGACTACATTTTGAAGTTTAAATTTATTTTGGTTTTTTTTTTTTTTTACACATAAAGGAAGCCCTTTTCTTTGGGAAGCAGGGTCCAGCTAAAGGGAACCAGGCATTATAACTGGAAGAGCTTTCTTGTCAAAGTGTAACAACAGCTTCATCTCGGCTTCTCTTCCACCCCGTTCCCTACGAGGCCCTGTGCTATTCAGCTTCCTGAGTGGTCTTTTGTCCCTTCCCCCACAATGTGCGTAGCTTTAAGCTGTTCACACTCCATTATGCCGTGTGTCTGAGACAGACTGGAAACACCCCATTTAAATTCGAATACAAGGATGCCAGTGAAGGATTGTCGCAATCCAGAATCCCCTTTGTGCTTCTCAAATAATTTATATGTTGAAATTGCACTTTAGCTTTCCCACTCCCTTCTCACCTTGCCCCCCTCCTCAAACTGGACTTCACTCCCTCCTCCTCACCCCCAGCCCCTCGCCCCACCCCAAACCCCACGGCCAACGCCCTCAGCTTCCAGGAGGACTGAGAGCTGTGTCCCTTTACCTTTCCAGAAGCTTCGCACCGGGAAAGCGTACATGGCATTCATTAGTCGCCTTGCTAAGATTTGTTTCTCACATCAGAAACCGCCTCTGAGAAGCAGAGAAGCTCCCGGATGCTACGCTTTATGGTCATTACCCCCTTATTCATATGGCATGAGTCTTTTCTCCCAAAGGAAAAAAGGTTATATTATGCAAGCGATGTGAGGCAGCCGCCAAGCTCCACTTAAGAATTGTCTAGCTCATCTTCCAAACCAAAGTGTCCTGAATTAGCCACAAGACTTCACTGTTTTGTGCGCCGTGGCAGGGGCTTGGCTGTGTGTCCTGTCTCTGTGACCCTTACCTATGTCTTTCCAAGGCCTCGGATCGCTGTGTTGCCTTGCGACAGAACTTAGGACAGTGCCTCGGTCTGCTTCACAGCTGTGATGGAAAGAAGGGCAGGAAGACCCAGAAGCAATAAACTTACAAATAAAATCCCAAACCCGAACACATTACACACCGAGAAACGATTTTAGTTCATGTGATTAAAAGAAGAAAATCTGCATGTCTATTCAGACGAGTTTACTAGTTCTTGTGGGGGTTTCCAGTGACCTAATGCTTAGAGCCAAATTGCTTAAAGAATGTTTATATATTTTTCCTTATAGATCTTCTATTTTTTAACATTAAAAAATTTCTATTTAACCAGAAGCCGAAGAGGGAGAGGGGGTATGGCCAACAATGCCAGCCAGCATTTGTTAAAGGATTCCTGTTCTTAAGTGGCACTCCAGTGTCCTTCCAAGCTTATCATTACAGGAGAATCCATGATTATGAACATTTAGGGTTAGACCAGCTTACGTTGTCCGGTGCACTAGAAGCCAGAAGCCAGAGAGTTCTAACTAGGTCATTTCAGATTTTCTTATGTTGCGTTTCATGTTGTAGAACTTTATAGGACTGATTGTTTTATAAAAAGCGAAATAATTTTAGCCTCAGCACTGAGAATGGGGAACCCAAATAAATTAGCTTTAAAGATACCATTGAAATCTCATGCGCAATAAGCTCATCAGAACCTCATTTGTTCCTTCAGCCCTGACTGT